TCGCCATCTTTCTCTCTTTCTTAGCAACAGGAAAGTACTGTCAACAGCCGATCTCAATAGCTGGGCAGCACCAGCCCTTCCCACACTCCTTCCTTTAGATCCCCAAAGAGAGAACACAGCACAGGGAGAGGTTTAGGGAAAGCATCTGATGTGTCCTGTCTAAAAGAACAGACACATCCAGAGGGCAAGGGGGGAAACAGTTCATATTTATTGAGCACTTATCAGATGTGCCAAAATGCCAGTGAGCCGTAAAATCCTCTTGACCCTGTGGCCAAGGATCTGGTTCCCCAATAAGGAAAACGCCTCAGAGAAGTTCATGCCTTTTTGTCTGGTGCATATGGGGACACATCTCAAATAAAAACCTCAGTGACTACCACTTTCTCCTGTCCCTTATCGAGAATCCCACCAATTCCAGCAGCAATCCTGTTGCTACAAGTGTGAGTGTGTGTCTATGCGCCTGTACCTTTGTGTGATGAGGTTTCCTAAAAGGCCCGCTTCAGATTCAGAACTACCAATCATTTCAGCATACTTAGATATTTAAATAAGCTATGTAAATGCATTTCCTTTTCCCCAAGTCATTAGTACTTTGGAGATTTGAAAGGTAAAATATACTTATATGTGCTAATCATAATCCTCATAACTACCCTCCTTTCCTAAATCAGAAATCCCTGAATTTTCTGAATGGAGAAAACAAAAAGTGTTTTGCACCTACTGCTGGCCACTATAGACCTTGCAAAGGAATTTTCCTGAAACAAAATATGTACCTAAGACAAAAACATTTTCCTTGGGCTATAATATACCGATGGCTTTTGAAGTGCACCAGAAGGCTCCTTAGAAAGAGGATGGTGAGACTTTGCCTCAAGTACTTTGCACCTGTTCCCGGGAAAGAGCAGTCCCTGGAGAACATCCTCAGAAAGACTGATGGACACGGTGGCGGTGACAATGGGCTCCAGCAGGACAATGGTGCAGGACCGTGCAGGGGGTCCTTCTGTTGTCCACAGGGTCACCAGAGGCCAGAACTGACTGACGGCACCTGACAATAACAGCACTATTCAAGGGAACGCCTGGTTGATGCAGAAAGGCCTGGCTATCGACTTTGAAAGAAATCACTGGCAGCGGCCCTATGAAGTACAGTTCTGCTGACACCCACAGTCATCTCAGTGGGAATCGATTGAATAGTAACTGGTTAATAATAACCAATTGATCAAAACCCTCATCTGTTAAAAGCAGCAGTAAGGATTTCCATTCATGTTAAAGACAGAGAAGAGGGGAGGAGTGCTTCTGAGTAACCAACCAAAGCACAAAACGTACTGCCATCGGGTCAATGACAACTCATACCAATCCTGTAGGACTGGATAGAGCCTCCCCTGTGAGTTCCTGAGACTGTAACTCTACAGAAGTAAGACTGCCCAGTTTTTCTCCCACAGGGCAGCTGGTGGTTTCGAACTACTGACCTTGTAGTGAGCAACCTAACGCATAACCACTACACCACCAGCCAAGACAACTGAAACTGGAAGAACCCAATGAACTGAGACTGCTACCCAAGCCACAGGTGGACCAGCTTAAGCTGAGCCTCCTCAGATGTTGAGGAAAAGCAAGAGCCTCCAAGTACTCCCTCAACCCAAGAACACTTTGTTCTAACAATT